GGGGGGGGGTTCTTGGAGAGGGAGGGAGAGAAAGGGAATAGAGAATGTGTTGAGTGCATGTATATGATGTTGGGGATGGGATCCAGGGCTTTGTGCATGCCAGGCAGGCACTCTACTACTGAGCTATATACCCCCAACCCCCACAATACATATTTTAGTTGTGAGTTAATAAAACTCACAGTTTTGCAGCTCAAGGCATAAGGATGTCACTGAAATGGTAATGTCTAAAATGACTGGAACTTGGAACTTCATCCCATCTATACATGGATCATTGACTTTACTCATTTTCCCCATAACTTTATAAAAGTTAGTTTAAAGAAAAAATCTGTGGTTTAAAATGTTCACCAGGGGAAAGTCCTGTAGTAACATGGAAATTCCTAGTATCAATGTTTATGAGGGGAGCATGTCTCAGGGTGCCTCTTGGAGCTTTTTACTTGACACTGGCTTCTCAGAGGGTCACAGTTTAACAGGGCACATTCATTGATCATTAGACCTGTCACCAGCTACCATCAAGAGCCTACCCTTCCAGTGACCTATTGCCACGCACAACTCCTTTTCATGTGACATGAGAGTTAATTAAGGTTGGGCAGGAGAAATCTGCTGACCAAGGGGTTACCTTTTCCCAAAAAATGCTCTACTCCCACACTGCTGTTCTTTCATTGAATGAGTTTAAAACTCACCTCCATAGAGCTAACATGTCATTTGAGTTTACCACACCATGTCATGGAAGTTATCTGAGCTGCCTGGAGCAAAGGTCAAGATCTGGTTGACATAGCTTGTAAAGTATTAGTAGAAAATTCTGCTAGACTTTCAACTGGTTATGAACAGAATGGATGGTCTTTATACCCCCAAAATGCAAAAAAAAAAAAAAGGACTGTTTTGTCTTGGACACTTCTCCCTTTTCTCTGTCAGTAGCAGGAAGCTCCATTTGCAGCTTATGTTCTTCTCTAGTGCCACTGTTCAGAGGACTCCGATGCCATGTCTCATAGAATGGTTCATAATCACTAGTAGCATTATGCTATTGTTCAAGCTATACAATGTTCAAGTTATTTCAAGCCAGATTATATGTATTTTCTGATAATAAACATCTTAAAAATATAGAGTAACTGATTCCTCAAAAGTGCAACTTCAGAAAATATGGACTCAATATATACAAGATAACATGCAAAACACTTGGCTTCATGGAAGTGATTTTTTTAATAGAATTAATATTTTATCAGTTGGTTTATTCTCTTTAGAATCAAAGTTCTATATAGCAGTCAAAATTCAGTAACAGAATGCTTATAGCTGAAAGAGTATTTGGATAAAATGGCATTAATTGGCATGGTAGTAATATTAATAAAATAGACAAACTGCCTTAGAGATTAGAAGGCTAATGTTAAATTGTTTAGAATTACAAGTTCCATTCTGTCAAAAGCATTCTTCATATTCTCTTTAAGAAAACAGTTATGTCTGGAAGCAAAGATGATATGTACAACCCACAATTTAAAATTCAGAGTTTTCTCTGTTCTCCAGAGCATTAGGATTACAGTTGGCAGAGATTTTACCAAATACTCTGCTTCCATTAAAGTTCCAGGCATTTGCAGAGATGATGACAGCAGGCCTCTGAATTTCAAGGACATGTTATTTACATGCGTTCCTGTGGAGTTTCTTAGAAGGAAAGCATCACAGAGATTGGAAACTACTGTCAGTTCAGTTTAGGAGCCTGCCATGGAATGGTTAAAGCACATGAGTGGGAACTGGAAACTTTGATTACATTCAGCCATGTCTTACAACTTTTCATGTGGCACAGATAAACTTCAGATTCACACACAATTCTTTCTGGGGAGAAAAAATGTCACGGAGCTGTGTTATAATGCTATTAACCATAAAAATGCATCCTGTTTAGGCATTAAGTTTGAATCCAAAATAATGCCTTTTTGTACAGTAAAGCAAAGAAGACAAGCCATGTACTTAACACTGTAGCTGTCTATGCAAGGAAAAGCAAAATACACTGTTAGAGCTAACATCATGTTTCTTCTATTCCCTTAAATATACTCAACATTTTCAACTTTATTATCAATTACACATAATGACAGAATACAGGTGGCCTTGCATATAAAAATAGGAGAGGAATAAAATGAGATTGAAGGCTGAGTGTGAAGTTCCTATGTTAGTTTTCAGCTTTCTTTGATGTAGTTCATGAACTCCATAGAAAATATTCTTCTGGAATCCCTTAGATTGTCTATAAAGGAGATGCTTTGAATTCACTAAGAGGAAAGTTGAGGAGATCTCTGACCTTTGAGATTTAAATGGCCAGAAGTATGAGATCAAGTTATCCATCATTGGGGAATTGAGTTTTTTAAAAAATGACAGCAAACTTTGTAAGCCTCACTGCACAGCATTCTTGATCATTATATCTGCTATCATCAGAATCAGTTTCCTTCTAAATTAAACTTGAGATACAATTCCTTTTCATTACACATAGCTTTCAGGCGAATCTTGTTTAACTGTGGAATTGACATGGTGACTAAATTGTTCTTTTTAATTCCAGGTGCTTATAATTTTCACACTTCCTAAGACTCACTTAATTTACATTGGTTAATATTGGTTAATAGCTCTGCCTTCCCAAGATTTTGCAAACATGAAAAAAAAATCTTAGCTGGAATTGTTGTTATTCAAGTTTTGCCTAGAGTCAAAATTCTGAAAGGAAAAGTAACCTATTAAAAGCAGTATGCTTCCATCAGAAATATTTCAATTGATAAAAGAAAGAGTTTGCTAAATATTAATAATTCACTCCAGTATATGAATTAAGGCTTTCCTTCTAAATATCCATAGAAGACTTGAGAGTCATTTGTACTCCAAATCTGGAAAATATTTGTTTTAACTTTCAGGGCATTTTTATTTATACACCTTCTTACTCTACCTAGAACTTTATTTCTAGAAATTTCTTTATTTCTAGAAACTTTTTAATATCAGCAAGATACTTATCTCTGAGAGAAGAGAAAGCTATAATTTCTGCCAATGTTTGTCTCCCAGTCTGACAGGCTTTGAAACAACTTATGAATCAGCCCATTCTTGAGGACAAGACATTAACCAGTTAGTAGGACTTGCATAAAACCAGAAAGAACAACTCTGGATAGGTAGTAAGTTCCCCAACCCTAGAGCTGCTCCTGTGGAATTAAGCCACCAGTTCCCTACCCCCATGAGACTGATGAACTGGGCTAAGGGTTGGACTCCTATGCATGAGGCTAGGAATCTGAGAACTCTTCTCCCTGGTTTATCTTTTCTTCTTATCTCTCTTGTACTGCCAGCCATCCCTGGTTTTTTTCCCACTATGTTCCCTATGTGACCCCTTTCTCTCACCCCCTTACCCTATTGACTTCTCCAGTCTTTAACTTCAGCATTAACTCTCTCAGTTAATATTTCTGAGCATATACTAAGAGAGGAATACAATAACAAAGAAGATTGTTTACTTTAAAGTGTTTGTAACTTTAGATGGATGATGTATAATAAACTAGTATATACAGATATATGAAATATTATAGAGAATTTTTATATAAATATAAAACAGCATTATATTTTCATGTTATCATGCAGAAGGACCAGGTGTGGGGAGGCTTTGCCCAGACCAGTGAGGGAGAAGATTCTCCCAGAGTAATAAAGTTGAAGGTGAGACCTGAAGAAGAGTGCATGTTTGCTGAAGGAAGCCTCAAATTTTTCTCGTTCAAAGAATTCAAACCCTCTAGAATTTCAACTTTATTTTTAAACAACTGTTTTCTGTCTTTTTCTCTGCAGGGCTGGGGATGGAACCCAGGGCCACATGCATGCTAGGCAAATGTTCTACCACTGAGCTACATCCCCAGCCCAACAACTGTTTTTGTTTTTTTTTTTTTTTTTAACAAGATCCCTTAGATTCTCTTGCTTCTAATGACTCTGCTCTCCATCTCTTTTCTGAATGAAAGCTCTGTCATCCTCTTTCAGTGCTGTAGTTCATATTTTTTTTTTTCAGTCTGTGGTCTACCTGACTTCACTTAGCACTGGGGAAGAAAGCCACAAGTAGATGCTGATCCATAATGGGGGTGGGGATGGGAAAAATGGAGGAACTTTGATTGGGCAAAAGGGAGGAAAAGGAGGGGAAGGAGCATGGGGGCAGAAAAGATGGTGGAATGAGATGGACATCATTGCCCTAGGTACATGTATGGCTGCACATATGGTCCAACACTACATCGTGTACAACCAGAGAAATGAAGAGTTGTGCTGCAATTGTGTACAATGAATCAAAATGCATTCTGCTGTCATATATACCTAATTAGAATAAATAAATTTGAAAAATAAAAATAAAAAAATTTTGAAAAGAATGTATTTTGACATTAGAGTAAAAATACTTATTCAATATCAAAGGTAGAAAATATAGAATACTTTATGTACAAGGTATAAGAATTAACCCTGGCTTCATCTGACTTTTTTTCTCCTAAACATGTATGCAATGTTTTATTGATTATATGGCAAATGTTGTATTTTAAAAAACTTAAACCAGGATCTTGCCTGGGGAC